ATAAATGATGTTATCCACAGTAGTGTTAACCCATTGCCACCGGGGAAAAAGAATAAAAAATGGGGAAAATGCTGTGCTCATTTTTTATATTTTTTTGTGAAATGTCTTTACGCATAGATGGCTCTGCTAGTGCTTAACCTTACCTGATTTCAACTTTCCTTCAATTGGCGGAAAATGTATTTTTTTACTAGTGCTATGAATATCGATGGTGTTATTTTTATTATAAACTTTATAATTACTATAATGTTATAAACTTTAGTGAGAGCAACATAAAATAATTCCATAAATCAAAGAAAAGGATAAATGGGAGAGACAGGCAGTACTCGTAATTGGCTCATTGGTGACTTAGTACAGGTGTAGCCATTTGTGTGTAAAACAATTAAACAAGTAAACTCACAGTGGGCATGGCATGGACATACGTGACATGCCCATCAGGAATGGGTTGAGGTACAAATAGCATGTCTTAGGCATGCACAAATAACTTACTATTTTATTTCTGTTGTATTTAGAATGAAGACATAGATGTAGTGCATAATGTACTGTTTAATGGCAATTTCAATGTGAATGTTATAACTAGATAGCCAATGATTGATTGTTGTAGTTGACCAGTTTCCCTCACAGACCCCAATAATGTTTAAGTACAGAAAGCTTTGACTAAACCAAAGAGCTCTTTCCCACAGTTCATCAGAGTATCACTAGAAATATAGATTGTTATGATTTTTTTAGGATTTTTATTTGGAAAATTACTATATGTAAGGTTATTTTTACACATAGATTCATCTTTTCTGAAATACCTGTTGATTTTATTATGATATTGTATTTATTTGCATTATGTTGGGAAAAAAATTACATATATTGCTGAGGAAGAAGAAAAAAAAGTCATTTTGTATTATTGTTTGATGTTATTGCGTCAATTCACAGGATTCATATAAGATGTCAGGATTAGCTTTAGAAATCCTACTTTCCGAGGTTTGCTCTGCTACTATATGATACTAAATGAGTAGTACATGATTTTATAAGCATGTTCAGGAAATTGAATTTAGTTAATTAAAGTTTTTTTCACTTATTTTATTGAATCTGAACTTGGTGATTCTCTCCTTAACAATGTTACCTTTATCATCTCCAGGTTGATACAGGGGAAGACTGTACTTCATTGCCACTCTTCTCCCACCCACCCTTTGTGCCTTACATGAAACTCCTGTCAAACAGCTGATTCGTCTGAGCCTGCAGGGAATAATATTACTTAAAGGTGGCCATGCACTTTCGAAGCTTTGGTTGGTGTTGTCAGGGAAGCATACAAGAATAAGAGGTACTGTGTAAAGCAGAATGACACTTTACATGGTGAAAAATGTATATTTCATTGTATATAATATGCGTTATGCATATGGTTTTATGGAATAACACGGTCGTTTTAGATGCTTACTGGTAAGATTGTTATTAATCTGTCGTAAAGTAAATCCAGATATTTATTTCCTCTATTATAAATGACTTCACTTTTATTTCAAGAGGGATTTCTCACAGGCACAACACTTCAACACACATGGACACAATCACACACAACCACAGTATGTTATTGTAGGTTAAAAACATCGTAAGATCATTAAGGATTTTAGCCATCTACTGTTACATGGTATTATGCTCCTCTTAGTACAATTTAAGTAAGACATAGAAAAATGGTGATCATGTGAAAACCATATTACAAGGGAAAATAAAAGATCCATGGATAACTATAAACAGACCTCTCTCTCTCTCTCTCTCTCTCTCTCTCTCTCTCTCTCTCTCTCTCTCTCTCTCTCTCTCTCTCTCTCTCTCTCTCTCTCTCTCTCTCTCTCTCCTCTCTCTCTCTCTCTCCTTCTCTCTCTCTCTCCTTCTCTCTCTCTCTCTCCTTCTCTCTCTCTCTCTCTCTCTCTCTCTCTCTCTCTCTCTCTCTCCTCTCTCTCTCTCTCTCTCTCTCTCTCTCTCTCTCTCTCTCTCTCTCTCTCTCTCTCTCTCTCTCTCTCTCTCTCTCTCTCTCTCTCCTTCTCTCTCTCTCTCTCTCTCCTTCTCTCTCTCTCTCTCCTTCTCTCTCTCTCTCTCTCTTCTCTCTCTCTCTCTCTCTCCTCTCTCTCTCTCTCTCCTCTCTCTCTCTCTCTCTCTCTCTCTCTCCTTCTCTCTCTCTCTCTCCTTCTCTCTCTCTCTCTCCTTCTCTCTCTCTCTCTCCTTCTCTCTCTCTCTCTCCTTCTCTCTCTCTCTCTCCTTCTCTCTCTCTCTCTCTCTCTCTCTCTCTCTCTCTCTCTCTCTCTCTCTCTCTCTCTCTCTCTCTCTCTCTCTCTCTCTCTCTCTCTCTCTCTCTCTCTCTCTCTCTCTCTCTCTCTCACACACACACACACACACACACACACACACACACACACACACAAAATGTGCTTGAGTGTTTCAAAAATATGTTAAAATAATGTAGAAAAGAACTTAATATTTCTCAGCTAAAATGTAACAGAAGTATTTTAGTGTCAAATATTTTTTAAAAAGCAGTCATAAAGACAGACTACATTTAAATCAACATACACCGTTTATGGCTTTGTGTAGTCCGTCAGACTCTGGCAGCCTACCTCAATGAGTCATGGAATGCAGAAGTGCAGCTATGTGTATATTGAACTAGATTCGTCAGTATATTTACCTATTTGTGTGATCTATTTAGCTACCAGATTGGTTATATACATCTGTATGGGTGTGTATATATATGTGTATGTGTATGTGTACATATACATATAGATATAGATATACATATATATATACTCACGTGCACACACATGCACACGCACACGCATACACACACATGCCTGCTCACACACATACACACACACACACACACACACACACACACACACACACACACACACACACACACACACACACACACACACACACACACACACACACACACACACACATGCATACATACATACATACATACATACATACATATACACATACACATACATACATGCATACATACATACATATATACATACATATATACATACATATATACATATATACATATATACATATACATACATACATACATACATACATATATATATATATATATATATATATATATATATATATATATATATATATATATATATATATATATATATACATGCACACACACACACACACACACACACACACACACACACACACACACACACACACACACACACACACACACACACACACACACACACACACACACACACACACACACACACACACACACACACACATATATATTATGTATTATATATATAATATATATGTTATGTATTATATATATAATATATATATTATATATATAGATAGATATACACTGATTGGTAGACATACAGAGTCATGCAAATTAATACATATATGCTTGCATATGATTATGCATATACATTTATACAGACATACATATATTTATATATACACCTGAATATATTTATGCATGTATAATGTATGATGTGTATATTTTATAACTATCTCCAGTTATATGGTGGATTTAGTGCTTTCTTTATCCTTAAAATTCAATCTTTTAATTTGATAGTTTTTTATGATGCATATTTTTTTCCACATAAGGGGTGATAGTATGGTCCAGAATTGAATCAAGTCTTACAAATAACTTGCTATTAAGCAATATTTTCTTTTTTTCACATGATTAATCAGGTAGTTTTTTTATTGTTGCTGTTGTTGTGTTATCAAATATTGATATTTTTTTATATAAATTTTCATAATTATGTTGTTAAACTTGAAATCAGTGCTTAGTGTAATGTAAACCTTTTTTTTTTTCTTTAGTCGTCTTTCTCTCTTTCTTTCTTTATCCTTTTGAGTTGGTTAATTTACTAGGTATTGATTTCACGGTATGTGTAGCTAGCAATGTGATTTAGATTACTTTTTGAAAGATGATGTTAAGATCCCAGTTATTAAGGATGTTCTATGGCAGATGACTTTAGTTGTGTCTCTTTTACCAAGATTTGCACACTTATGTGATGTACTCAATCATATATGAATTCTGTAATTTATTCACTGGTTTACATCATTTCATGTAATATTTAGAGGAAATATTTTGTAAAATAACATTTTGGTCTCTTTGTAAAGGAAATATATTTGTACAATACCCAGTTTTATAACATTTTATTTTCATTTTGAGAAGTACGATATTAATTTATTGTACATAAGCTTTTTTCTAATGCTATTTAATTTTGCATTACTAAATGAAGAAAGCTAGCAGACTGAACATGATGCTTATTACAAAAGTAATAATTCAGCAAGAGTCAGTGACATGCACATAATGTGCTAGAAATCATAGCATCTTGCCTTATGGATTAATTTTACAGATGTACCATATACTGTTGTTCAGTTCACAACTTTTTAAGTGAAACATTTCTGTTCTCTGTGGTACTTTTATTATATTAATTTAAATGTAACAATGGTGATTTAAGATACAGAAAGCCTGTATGCTATGGATTTGTTAAAAAGATGTATATAGAGAAGATTTATATCTTTATCTATATACTCCCTTCCTTTTCACTCAGATATCTAATACATATATGAGTATAGATTTGCATGGTAGGCACATGCACATCAAATGTTCCCTGACATATGGCTGAGGTATGTCTGTAAGCATGTCAAGTTATGTCTGTGAACATTTGGATATTTCATGGGCATTATTAGCCCATTCCTGATGGGTTGATGTATAATCATGTAATGATAGACCATCCTTCACAGCAAGATGACATATTCATGTGGGTAATCAACTTGCTCCAAGTTGTGTATGCTAATCAGTTGTGTGCTTGTTTGGGCCATCAAAAGTAGGCTTAAAGCCTCTGTTCAGCTTTATTTTCTAGAAAAATAATTTATGCTGCAGCCAAAGGCTTAGAAAGTGGGGTAATTTTATGCTTCCCATGTTTCTGATTTTGCCCTCAAGAAGGCGACTGCATGCATACTGACATGGTTGGTATGGCATTGGGAGCTCCCATTGTGATTGAGTTAACTGACAGTGCAGCAAACTGAAGGTGATAGTATGTTAGTTATAATGCAATTGAGGTTGGTGATTGGACCAGGTTTGTGGTTAGTGGTCTTTGTGAAGTAAGCCAGACATCAGCCAGAAGTGCACAGAAATGCCCCAGTGCCAATGGGTTTAATCATAGATAAGTCTTTTGCTCATTATTTACCTGTTAATACAAATGGAAAATTTTAAGCACATTCAAGACCTGGGAAGATACTTTTCACTGTAGTAGTAAAATTGCCAAGGAATAAATTGCTAGTTTATTGCATGTTAGAGAATGAAAAGGCAGATGGAAAAGTCACATTGATTGTGCTTGCAATGAAAATTAAACTTCTTTTTGTGCTACCATGTACAGTAAACATAAAGGGTTCAACCAAGTTACAGGATGGTTTTTTGTGTTTAAGCTTCAGTAGAAACAGAGCAGTGCCTACTCTTGTGTTCCCTTTGTGAAATGAATCACAGCTCGCCATAGCAATTCCTAATTACTATTTCATGAATAGGGAGCCTCTGGCTTTACACAGTGCTACAGACTACAGGATTGTGTTTGGAGTATGAACAAGTTTGCATGTGGGTGTATATGAACATATGTGTGTGATTACAGATATGTGAGTCTGTTTGCATGCAGTTGTATAAGGAGAGATACCATTGCCCAAGCACCAAAACAAAATTGTATCGCTTTCCCCTAAGGTCACTCACTGTCTTATTCTCACAAATGTGAAAGCATCTGAATTCCTTGATTTAATAAAATAACATTACAAAGTTGTTTGAATAAAGGCAGCTGCTGTATTTCTATCAGTACTTGCAAATTTGTGTAACTTAGAAAATCAGCAGGATTACTGGATGTTTATATCATGAATATTGTTTGTAAATATTTCTTTAACAATGTTATTATTATTTCTTTCTTATGGTTATTATTTATGTTCATCATTATTTTTATGGAACAAAGTATTTTTTTCTGAATATTTTTTTAAGAACAGGGAAGTGTGAATTTTATGAATTATACTGAAATTTTTTAAAACGAAATTGGCAAAATAGTATAATATTATATATTTGTCTGAGTATCAGAGAGAGAGAGTAATAGTTATCCCAAACTATTATTATTTCTATTGGCATTATCATTGTTGTTACTTGTTTGTTATTGACATTGTTATCATCATTATTATCTTTGGTGATTATTACTATAGTTGCTGTTACTATTGTTGTTAACTCTAATAGCATCCTAATTACTGATACTGCTGGCAGGAATAGAGTAGTCTTTTGAATAGAATTAAAACATCTATTAGCAGTTATACAACAATGTACATTTGCTCAACCAGGTGAGTTTAGTGCAGTTATAATGAAAATTTAATTTTGTAAGAATAGATTTCTACTAGCCATAAAATGAAAATTATTAGGTAGTTTTGCATACTTATAGCATATCAAAAGCTCTTCTTTTAAATAAGACCATATATACGGCCAAATGAAAGATCAATTCATAGTTTTGAGGAACTTACTAATTCATATTGATAATAATCTACTTTGTAAAGTACATATGCAGCAGAATATTTTGGAGTTGGTAGTTGTATGTATGTGAACTTTGCCCTGCCTTTTGGGGAATGAGATATTAACATGGCATTATACTTTTCATTTTTTTCATTGATCTTAGATTGAAACTTGAAAGCTTATATAGTAAGTCTGTTTGCATGTTGGTCTGGTGAGTGTCATTAAAGTTATGAAGAAAATATATTAGTCATGCTACTAAT